TTGCAGTTCTGTAGCCATCAGTCCTCTGCCACATTTTCTTCACTTTCATAATATGCCAGGAAATGTTTTGACAGCAAAACAGCCTTCCCCAACCCTGCTCACTCCGTATCTTCTAGACTGTCACAGTCTACAACTTCAAAACATCAGGAGGGCACCAGGGTGGTGAAGGTGGATCTAAAACAACTTCCAAAAGCCAGAACTGATTAGGCCATCTCACAGTTCCTGGAAAGAACAGTGGCGTAATCATATTTGCTCCATTCATTAGGGAATAGTTAAAAGATTTCCAAAGCATTCACTTCTGCAAGCCAAAACTGTATGCAAAAGGATTCTCAGAAGGAAACTTTTCACGTATTCCAACTTTGGTTGCCTCAGTCTACTTTCTCTAAATAAAATGTGATCTCTTAGCTCAATTCTTGTGAGCAAAATCAGTGCTAATCACCACCTTTCAAGGCAATCACAACAGAAGATGTTAAGGACAAAACGGGCATGGAAACCTTTTTGCTCCTACAACGAGCATCACACAGGGGGGATGATGAGAAAGACCTTTGTTGCTTCTGTTCTTTTCAATGGGTTGAAAATTTAGGTCTCTGAAGTTGTCAGGCTGACACATTTCACCAGTAATGACAGTTATTACTTAAAACATTTCAAAGGAAGGAGAATGCAAGGCTAGCAAGAAGGTTCTCACTTTGCAGCAAGATGATCAAAGAGTGTTATAATTTTGCCATGTACTCTTCCAGACACTGATCTCTTGGCTCTGGAGAAGTTACATTCCATTGTTGCTTATTCCTGAACACTTGGAGGCTACTGAGCCAGATCTACTTGCCATATGAACGACACTTATGAACTACCCCCACGTAGTGATTCTGCTGCCAGTGCCATCTTAGATTTAGCTTTCAGGTTTAGACTTCTCAAATTTGCATGGCACTTTCCACTAAAAAGGGGGGGGAAAGGGATTTACAACTAAGTTTTAAAAATACAATAAAAAAATCACACAAGTAGTAAATGTAACAGTACAGTAACATGTTATTGGTGCTGCTCAAATGCCCAGGAAAATAAATATCTCTTTGCCAGGTGCAGAAATGATGGCAAGGCTGGTGCCAGGTGGGCCTTCGTGTGGAGAGCATTCTATAAATTTGTGCCCCATTGCCTTGTCTCCCAGCTTGCAACTCTCCCTTGGAGGTGGTAAACAGAAAAATGTCTGAGATGATCTCAGACAGGTTCATATCAGGAAAGGTGTTTCTTTATGCATAGTGTTCCCAACCTCTAAAGGTAAAGGTAAAGGTCCAGTCGTGGACTACTCTGGGGTTGCAGTGCTCATCTCGCTTTATTGGCCAAGGGAGCTGGCGTACAGCTTCCGGGTCATGTGGCCAGCATGACTAAGCCGCTTCTGGCGAACCAGAGCAGCGCACGGAAACGCCATTTACCTTCCCACCGGAGCGGTACCTATTTATCTACTTGCACTTTGACGTGCTTTCGAACTGCTAGGTGGCAGGAGCAGGGACCGAGCAACGAGAGCTCACCCCATTGTGGGGATTCAAAGCGCCGACCTTCTGATCGGCAAGTCCTAGGCTCTGTGGTTTAACCCACAGCACTACCCACGTCCCAGCCTCTACAAGGCCTTGAAAGCCCCAAAAGGTAATATTGCAGAGTTGCTTGGAAAATCTGGACCTTGCAAATTCTGATATGAACTAATCTGATCCACATGTCCCAGCCTAGCAGATGGGAAAGTAGCTTTCCTTTGTATTTTGCACTTCTGTGCATGTTATGAAATGTCCCAGTAGCTGCTGGGCTTCTGGCAGTTACTTTAGGGCTACATGAATAATATGAATGTTATTGAAGCTCTGTGCTAGTGAAGCACAGCTAGTCAGACTCTGCCTAAGAGAATGGTATTCTGAGTGGCTGAACATATGCTTTGCTTACATAAGAACACTCAAGGCCTTTGAGTGCGCTTAAGGCAGAGATTTCCAACCTTTTTGAGTCCACGACTCCCTTGACCAACCACACAGGGATGGGAATGAAATTCAATTCAGTTTGCATTCTTTATCTACTTCATCACAAAGGAGCCCAGGGAATCACCCTACCATATAGGTGAATCTACCTGATTTGCACCATCCATCTCAGCCTGTTCCCCACCTGCCTGTTTATAGACAGTGCAGGGTGTGGTGCTGCCTGTCTGTCACCTTGCTCCTCCTTAGTCTCAGTGTTCCCCCTTGTAGAACTCAGCAGGGAGGAAAACAGGGACAAAACAATAATGAGCTCAGACAAACTCTGCATGGGCCAGCTGGCTCTGTCTGTCGTGAGTTCTGTGTCTACCTACAACTGACACAGGGCCTGCTCAAGACGTTTTAGCACCTGAGGCGAACCACAAAATAGTGCTCCCCTCCCTGCCAGGGAAGAAGGGGGGAGTGAAGATCTACACCAGGAGCAAGGGGGGGGGAATAAAGATCTACATCGGAATCTGCTACCCCTGTGGATCGTGCCACCAGAGGTGGTCGCCTTACCTTGCCTCATAGGTAGGCCAGTCCTGAGTTGACTTCCCTGCCTTCTGCCCTACCAGTTCCAATGGGCATCACTAGCAATCACTGGAGGGAGGCATTAACAGGTCTATAGCGGTCTATAGAAGTACATTTTATAAGGGGGGGGGACCCTAAGGGAGAAGAGGCCGCCAACAATCTACTGAGGACTAAGCATGCTCCATGGCCATGGAAGACTGGTTGGGAAGCAGAATTGAATGGAATTTCATGGAGGAGGACTTGGACAATGAAATGGAGTGCTCAGCACTGCAAGATTTTGTTGCAGTTGTCACATGTTTTCAATATTCATTTTTCACGAGCCACTTTCGATTTTTGAAAAGTAGCATACAAATTACAATATAGTAAAGTAACACAAGAATGCCCAAGAACGAAAACCAGTTTGATAAGTAAACAAATGTGCCCTTAAAACACGTGCCAAAGAGCATGGAGACTCCTGGGCTCATAACAAATTGATGGCGCTAGTCCATCTCAAATGCAGATGTCTGGCATCGTGCTTTTTTATTATAAACATTATCTCATTTGTTTCTGTGCTTCTTGTTTTCATTGGTAATGCATGTAAAATGGTGGTTTTTTTGAATTGCATTTGATTGGAAGAATATGTGCGAACTCAAAAACCCAATATAAAATCTATCTGGGCATTGCATTAAGAAGTAGTCAGGTTTTAATAATTCTTTACAAATGTTTAATGGGAGCTGCTTTCCTCCCACAACTTGGAAATAACTCAGCTTCATTATGCTCTTTAAATGCAAAAAACCCCACTGGATCAACTGAGTCTTAAAAAATAAAGAATAAACAATACATTTGTAACGCAACATCAAACAATCGTTCCATTGGCACACCTTCATAATGGATTCTTTATGCAAACTTTATAGCCTTTGTGCCATTTTCTAGTTGTGCTGTTTCCAGTACATTTATTTCAATGAAAGCTGCTTGCTGCAAACCTTGTAAACAATTTTAAAAGATTGGCCCTTTGTCCACAGGCTTTGGTGTGTGCATTTACACTGAGAACTTGCACAAACTGCCACTCACAAGACCCGCATAAATGCATATTTTTTTCCCAATACATTCCAATATTTCTCTAATTTCCTACAGTGAGTTTTGGTTAGGTTTTATAAAGGCAGAAGAGCGGAGGAATAGCATACACTGATTTCCGTCAAGAAGAGGAACTGTCTCCTTTAGACCCTTCATCCAGATCTTGATGTGAACTGAACCCAAACCATTAAAAATGCTCAGATGATTCACATGCCTCCCCAGTGTCTTTATTTCATCTGTTCCTATGAGAAATACTCTTACTGAAGTTGATCTAATCAAGGGAAGATCAACAGCCACAGGATCCTTTAAGATACCTATTTTCTCAAGGTTTCTTTCATGCTACTTCCCCAATTTCCATGCCAAAGCCGTTGAATTATAATAATAATTTATTTTTTGTACCCTGCCCATCCAGCAAGCTGTGAAACATAGCTAAAAAAAGAGGGTTCAGTTGAAGCCCGAAATGGGTGATATTTACCCAGCATTTTAAAACTATAGTCTTTCACTTTATTTTCCATCCCATCTGCAGATATTACTGTGGGTGGTGTCCCAAAAGATAAAAATATGATTAAAAACTCAGTGGCCTTGGAAAATTAAATTCCTTCTTTTCCCCAACTGACTGCATCTTGCCTATTTATCGATATCTATCTAATCTATCTAACTCTACATCTATCTATCTATCTATCTATCTATCTATCTATCTATCCATGTATTCCTTGCATCCTCAGTCCTAATCAACAGAGGGGGGAAATGAGAAGTCTAAAAATATTGGGGGGAAATACATTCAGCGTTAACAAATCTGCTACATTCAGGCATGGAGAACCACAATATGAAAAGCAAAATGAGCAGCACTAGGATATGAAGGCTTGTAGGGCCAGTATCAAGGGTTGGCACAATCGGGGACCTGCATGCCAGCGGGGGGCGGGCACTGTCAAGAGGCCCCTTGAACCTGCTTCTCCACTTCACCATTGCAACCTGTTCGTTTGTCCACCTCTCATTCTTATAACTTGCCTTCCAAGTTATGTCTGAAACAAGAGCACAAGAAATCAAGGGAGAAAGACCAAAGTTGGCTTCTGCTGTCATTCTTCAGCAAAATCTCCCCCCAAATCTCATAGGAACGAGGCTGATAGCAGCTAGACTGGAACGGGCAAAATATGGCATTGGTGGCAGGATATGGACATACAGGGGTGGGGTGGCCAATTGCTTTAAGGTGAAAAATGGACATATCTAAACAAGCTTAAGAACAGAAGGTGGGCCTGCTGGATGAGGCCAATGGTCCATCTAGTCTAGCATCCTGGGCTCACAGAGGCTGCCCAAGATGCCCATGGGAAGCCTGCAAACTGGACACAAGCAAAGCAGCACTCTGCCCACCTGCAATTCGCAGCAACTGGTATTCAGAGCCATAATGCCTCTAACAGTATAAAACACTACTGGAAGGACTGGAAAAAATATTATTTATTTGTAGCAACATATTATCATATATGCAAACAAAGAGTCATCTCTGCAAAGCCCACCATCTTCCCAAGATAAGTTTTGGAATGTTGCTTTCTGAGACATTTGAGTCTGTAACTCCAAGCCCATAAATGCTTGGGTGACATCTTCACTGTTATTTCCAGGGGAAATAAACAATGACCGTTCTGTCTCCCCAGACTTTCTGCTATTCACTTCTTGTTGTATTTATCTTGTTCATGGTGATATTATTGCCGTTACGCCTGAAAATGAAACAAAAACATATGTCTTTAGAAACCCCAAAAAACATATACTATCCTTTATCATCAAAATCAGCTTCACTTAAAAACATAAAGACTTTGGTCCAATGGCTACTGTTCTCTTCAAGCTGAAAGAAATCATTGCAGCCAGCCATTGTGTGTGCAGCAATCTCTACGCAGCTCTGAAAAGAGGGAAGAACCGTTTTTCAAAGAGGGGGTGCAGTTAAAGTGAGCATGTGGACTTTGCTATCAGTGCCCAGGGCTAGAGTTTACAGAGATCTTTCATTGCTGTGTTCACTTCCCAACTAAGACATTCTTCTTTTATTTCTGGAAGTTTTTCATGCCGTTCCTTTTACAGCACCCTTAGGCACAGGCCAAGGCTAAGGGAGAGATGAGAGGGACATTATTTGTGGAAACTGCCAGATTTAGAACACCCTGACAATTGTCACACTTCTCCTTCCCCAATGTGGCCTGATAATGACCAAGGAAACCCCAAACCAATCTACTGAATTAATTTTTTGAGGAGGGTGAGCGTATCAGGATGTGGCACAGTTAAAGTGCAGCAGCTGGTAGTTATGGAGTGATAAGGCGAACCTGAAGTGTGAAGATTTAAAAACAGAGCAATGGGATTGGAGGATAAGGCTATTGGAGGATAAGGTCAATCAATGTCTGCTAGTCTTGATGGATATATAAAGTGAAGGTAAAGCACCCCTAACAGTTAAGTCCAGTCGTGAACGACTCTGGGGTTGTGGCGCTCATCTTGCTTTATTGGCCGAGGGAGCCGACGTTTGTCCACAGACAGTTTTTCCGGGTCATGTGGCCAGCATGACTAAACCACTTCTGGTGAAACCAGAGAAGCGCACAGAAACACTATATATATCTATATATATCTACATATATATATATGTATATACACACACCTACACACAAACCTCCATAAACAGAGGCAGTATGCTTCTGAATACCAGTTGCTGGAGAACACAAGCACCATCATGTCCTGCATCTGTGGCGAATCCGAGGGTCTCAAATTTCAGCGGTACCCTGTGCAAAATTCGGTGCCCCTCTTCTGTTCCATGGTAAATCATGGATCCGCATCCAGTGCAACTGAACCAGTCATGCCTCTGCCTCTGCCTGCATTATATATGGCACAGGGGGACATCTGGTTGCCCGCTATGGGAATAAGCAGGCCTTGGGTCTGATCCAATGGGACTCTTTCTATGTTCAAGGCACTTGTGTGAAGGCTGCCTTGTCCTTCGCAAGTCCCTCCTTGCCCCCACCATCTTGACTCCGCCAAATCTTGGTTAACCACATCTCTTTGTTTACTGATGCATGCCATTGTGACTATTTCATTTGGGACCAGCTGATTCATTTACAAAGCAGGCGTGAGCCGATCTCTTTTGCTTTACCCAACATGGCGTTTTCCCACATCTCATTCCAGCTCTGCCCTTCCCGTCTCGGACACAGCAAGGTCATTTCTGACAAGGGTCTCAAGAAGATAAGAGAAATAAATACTAACTGGCTGTTGTGGCAGGATTCTTCCAAGGGTGGCTGGTGCTGTTCCTTTTGTGTATGTGTGATTTTAAATGGTTTTCAATGCTGTTTTTAATAGGGTAACCTATTTAATTGTTTCTTGATATTTATATTTGTTGTGTATTTTTAGTTGTAATTTGTGCTCTGAGCTGCCTTTGGTCCTGCACTTGGAGAAAGGGGTGAGGGGGGGAGTATAATAAATGAATAAATAAATAAATAAATGATGAAGGGTGACAATATGGCCTGGGGAATGTCACCCTTATTTTGGCAGTACAAGCATGGCCTATCCAAGACACCAAATGCCACAGGAGCAAAAGGTGCCACCATTTTGAACACAGTTACCTGCACTCTCCCCCACCCCACCCCTGTCATCATTAGCAGTAAACATGGTAGTAATAATACCACATAGAAGAAAGTTAAAGGGAAGATCATTCCTGGGAGAGACAGGAGTTTGAGATCAACAGAATTTGGCTTCCCCACCCCCCTTCATCCCCACTCTGTCGCAGAAATGAATACTGCGAAAAAAGTTTTGGTCTGAGCTCATTTGCCTCTCCTGGGGGGGAAAAAGAACTTCTGCTGTAGGAAATCAACCAGCTAAATAAGCTAAATGATGCAGAGTACAGTGGCACATTCTTTTGTTACCTTAGCTTCTCGAATTGCAGTGTTTCTTCATTCTGCGATATTGGAGCCAGTCACCATGGATGGTTTCCCTGTTGCCACTTTCTCAAACTCGAGTATGTTTCCTTTTAAAAGGACGACACTTAATACAGAGTGAATTATCCGGGGCAGACAGAGTGATTTATTTTATAAAGCTGTGTGTTGTGAGCCGAAATTGGTTTTTCTCCTCTCGGCACGTGGCTATCTAGAATAACCCCACTGATGCATAGCCCAAGACAGAACTAGCGGAAGGCACAAACACTGCAGCCACAGCAATGTTAATATTAGCTTGCAATACTCACGGCTCTGCTTCAGAACCAGGAATGCAGGAGAAATGAAAGAAGGCCTTTCTTGTCCCCACAGCACAAGCTTTTGAAGGAACTGAAGACCTCTGATTGACCAACCCTAAAGAGGTTTCAGACAGACAGCTGAAAAGAATGTTCAACTCCCACATCGTATTTCTGAACAGGGAATAATCAGAATAATTTCCACCCTTGTCCTGCTAATTCGGCAACAAGCATAAGACAAGAGCATGAGAACAGGCTTACGAGATCAGATGTGTAACCAATAAAGCTTTCTTCTACCATGTCACCGGCAGTTCCCAGTACAAAATGCCACAAACGAAGCGTATCATCTTCCAGGAAGCCCATAACCCCCCAGGCACTAATAAAATGCTTCTGATTTGCCAGCCACTTTCCATAGCGTCTTTCCAACACCATGTGCAAGCAGTTTAAGAAAGTGGTTAGAAACCTATAATGTTTCAGCTCCTGATCATGGTGGAGCAAAAAGCCCCCAGTTTGTTTTTGTTTTTTACTGGCATGGATGAGTCCTATATGTTTTGTTCATTTTTATAATGAAAACGAAGGGAGAGAACAAATTTGAATCCACTGTTTCATTGTTCCCATTGTTTCCGTATGTTTGCAATTGCTTACATGGCAGGGCCACTTTGTGTTGAATGCATTGCCTAGATATCTGGGTACAGGTCAGAGAAAGGCCCCCAAGAGGGGGAAGAGACAGCAGTAAGAGAGACTAACTGGGAAGCTCAGTTTGGTTACGCCGAAATTAGGCCATATTTGTCAGCTTGTTAATTTCCTATAGAATGGATCCTTGTTGTCTTGTGTCTATGAAATTGAGACAGACTAATGCCCTGGGTGGTGATGGGAGAATTCTGAAAATTCGAAGACATTTGGAAGGCAAACACCAAAGTTACAGCTAGCAAAAGGTTGTCTGGTTTTTTTTGTTATTTATTTCATAAAAAATTATACACTGGTTGATTGTAAAAACCAAAGAAAACCCTCAAGGTTGTTAACAAAAATGTGGAACATTAAAGTCAGGAAAATTTTACAAACCATGCTTTAAAACTTATGAAAGTTAAAATGCTAAAGCAGATTAAAAGTAGTACCCCAACTTTCTAAGCATCTGGGTGGTGGTTGTTGTTGTTTAGTCATTTAGTCGTGTCCGACTCTTCGTGACCCCATGGACCAGAGCACGCCAGGCACTCCTGTCTTCCACTGCCTCCCGCAGTTTGGTAGTTTGGCAACTGGGTAGGCTTGTCTAAACAAAATATTTTTAGCAGTTGCTGAAAAGGGTAGAGGGAAGACACCTGCTTGATGTCAATAAGCAGGGAGTTTCACTGCCACAGTTGGATGGAATGGGTATTATGTGGCACCTATACTGTGTGCAAATTCCACTGGATGAAGTGGTTGAGTGGGAAAATGTAGGGTAAGATGCTTTGGTAGGTACACTGGTCCCAAGTTGTTAAGAGCTTTATATATTAATAGTAACACACTGAACTTGGCCCAGTAGCAAATCAGAAACCAGTGCAGATTACACAGGTGTTAGATGTTGACAAGGCTACATTCCTCTCAGCAGTCATGCTGCAGAATCTGCACTAACTCAAGTATGAGGGAAGCCCCACACAGAGCGCACTGCAGCAATCCAATATTGAAGGAACCAATGAATGAACTACTGTTGCAAGGCTTTCCTGTTCTAGGAACAGCCCTAGCGTTGAACCAGTTACAGGTGGTAAAAATAATGGGAATCTTACATGATATCTTATATAAGCCAATGTGATGTCATGGTTAGAGTGTCGGACTAGGGTCTGGGAGACCAAGATTCAAATCCTCACTCAACCATCAGGCTCACTGGGTGAGCTTAGACCAGGCACTGCCTCTCAGCCTAACCTATCTCACAATATAGTTGTGTGGATTTAATGAGGGGGAGAATTATGTACACCACCTTTAGCACCTTGGAGAAAAAGTGGGATATAAAGGCATCAAATGAATCTATGAATTCTAAATTGGCTCTAAAATGGCAGATCCAGTCTGTTTGGAATTTTGTAGGTCTGATGCCATAAGGAAGAAGTACATAGAACATAGAACATAGAATCATAGAGTTGGAAGAGACCACAAGGGCCATCAAGTCCAACCCCCTGCCAAGCAGGAAACACCATCAGAGCACTCCTGACATATGGTTGTCAAGCCTCTGCTTAAAGACCTCCAAAGAAGGAGACTCCACCACACTCCTTGGCATCAAATTCCACTGTCGAACAGCTCTTACTGTCAGGAAGTTCTTCCTAATGTTTAGGTGGAATCTTCTTTCTTGTAGTTTGGATCCATTGCTCCATGTCCGCTTCTCTGGAGCAGCAGAAAACAACCTTTCTCCCTCCTCTATGTGACATCCTTTTATATATTTGAACATGGCTATCATATCACCCCTTAACCTCCTCTTCTCCAGGCTAAACATGCCCAGCTCCCTTAGCCGTTCCTCATAAGGCATCGTTTCCAGGCCTTTGACCATTTTGGTTGCCCTCCTCTGGACACGTTCCAGTTTGTCCGTGTCCTTCTTGAACTGTGGTGCCCAGAACTGGACACAGTACTCCAGGTGAGGTCTGACCAGAGCAGAATACAGTGGCACTATTACTTCCCTTGATCTAGATGCTATACTCCTATTGATGCAGAATGTAGAATGTAGAAGTAGAATGCATGTGAAATCCCATGTCATTGGGACTGAAAATACCAAAGTTACATGCAGCAGAATCTGGCAGGGTTGCTATGGAAATCAATGGAAAACTGAATGAAAATGAGAAAGGAAACTCATATTATTCAAACAAATGGAAAAGGTTTTTATGCCCCTATATCAGTAAGTGCATCTATTTCAGAAAAATCAGATTTTCTCTGCTTTCAAACCACAGAGCTCAACTGTCGGCCAAATGTCACTCCCCTTTCACTGCCCTGCAACTGAAAGTTTTCTTGCCCACTACCTACCCAATCTATGAACAGTTAAATTCACCCCACTGTTTCAGAACTTTGCTTTCCTTGTATTTTCTTCCCTTCCTGTTTGTAGATTCTATGCTCAAGTTTTCCAGCACTAAAGTGCACATTTCCCTCCCACCTCTTAAATCCTGGGTATCCCCATCACCAGCAACGCTTTAATGTTCCTTTTTATTACATGGGAATTGAGAAATAGCACCACTAAGGATGGATCAGGGCCAGTGTTGCAATAGAACCTGCAATTACAAACACTTGGGGGGCCTGTGTATCTGAAGAAGTGTGCATGCACACGAAAGCTCACACCAATAACAAAATTAGTTGGTCTCTAAGGTGCTACTGGAAGGAATTTTTTAAAATTTTGTTTCGACTTTGGGGGCCGTTTGGAAAGACCCTTACGGAAACATGCATTAGAGAAGTGAGAAGCCCGAGCTGTATAAAAACATTTTCGCCAAGGCAAGGCACAGCAGTAGAATAGGAAAAGGCAAAGAAAAGGAAACCTGAAATGATAGTGGTGGCGAGAGAGCTTGTTGCTTTCTTCATTTAGAAGAGGAAGCAAAAAAAGATGACCCTGAGGGATTATTAAATCATGTTGATACAGATAATAAAAAAGAAATCATCCATTCTCTTTCAAACTGCAAGAACCCAAGGTCATTCAATAAAACTGGTAGACAGGAGGCACACATTCAATTCAAAATGTCAGCAAGCCATGATAAGAACGCAAGAACGCTTCTAGATAAGACTAAAGGCCCACCTAGTCCAGCGTTCTGCTCTCCCAGTGGCCAACTAGATGCCCATTGGGAGGCTGTAGGCAGAACCTGAGCGAAACAGAACTCTCTCTACCTGAGATCCCCAGCAACTAGTATGCAGAGACATACTGCTTCTGACAGTAGAAGTGGAACACAGCCAGCATGGCAAGTAGCCAATGGTAGCCTTATTCTCCATGGATTTGTCAAATCCTCTCTTAAAGCCATCCCAATGGATGACCATGACTACCTCTTGCGGGAGTGAATCCCATCATTTAAATATGTGCTGTATGAAGAAGTGCTGAAAGCCATTTTGCAATGAAGGTAAAAAATAGATAATTGCATCATAGATGGAGCTAATGGGAAGAAGCCACTGATTCTCGTGTACTGTAGCAGTTCCTTGCCCCACCCCTATAAGGATGGACTGAGGTGGGGCAAAACCTCAGATCAGACTGGCAAACCAGACAAATGGTTTGATTTTTATTTGATTTAATAACTTAGTAATTCTGCTTTTCCAGCATCAGAGTTGAGCTCAAAGCAACTCAGAACAGCAGCAAAGAATTGAGAAGGAAAAGGAATTGTCACAAAGCAACAACCCCTAACCCAGAAGAAGCGATGAGTGGAATATAATCATTGGGGTTTTGTTTCTCTGTTTTTATTAAAGAAATTTCTGGTGGTTCCTTTTTTATAATAATAATAAAAAATGGCAGTATGTATGAGAATGCAATGATTTTCAAATTCTAGAGGCCTCACTTTGTATTTGGGTCTCTGCAAAGGTTTGTACTGGTTTTGCATTTTTAAGAGGTGCAGCAACAGATTCACATGCTTGGGATGTCAAATGTTAGATCAGCCAGGATTGCTCAAACAGGAAAAGGAACTCCAAGGGAACAGAAGCTCCAAGGATGTTAAGGGAAATGACTCAAAATTTTAAATGTGCAATAAAGTCTCCAATATGGGAAGTTTAGCATGGTGTCAGATTTCATTCAGAAACACTCTGTGTGATTTCCACAATTACCTAGGCTGGAACTATGCAGAGGCACAGAAGTGAAAAATGTTTGTTTTTAAAGAAAAGGTTCAGGCAGTTAGTCAATATCCTATGATGTGTCAGACCTGTGCCATTTATTGCCATGTTTAAATTTAATGCAGATGACATCTTTAGCCCATGGACTTTATATCACATGAATCAATTTAAATTTGAATACTACAGTTTAACACATCTGGTAACTTGTTTAGACTTCTTAAACCTGGATACATTCTCCCACTTTAGAAACCAACAAACAGCATGTAGCACTTTAAAAAAAAAAACCTACAATTATTTACACCCTGAAAGTATTGTTCTGCTATTCATTCACCGCACATTTTTCATGCTCTTTTCCTTTTTACAGCACTCATAGTAAGGCTTGCCAAACCACTTATTTCTGTTTCTTTAGCCAAACCACAGTGTC